ATGCAGGATTACAGCAGGACTAAAGAAATGTACGTCTACACACACAAACACACTCTCTCTCTCTCTCTCTCACACACACACACACACACACACACACAGCAGTATATTACCAGAACAGAAGAATTCTAGTCATTCTAGTTGTAGTTCTAGTTCTAGTCTAGTCATATATATATATATATATATATATAGATAGATAGATAGTTTTAATTTTAGTTAGACTTTAGTTTGCTGCATTTTTTCACTTTTGTAGTTTTTTTTTTTAATGTATATATGTTTATACAGTTTTTATTCATTTCTGTTTCAGTTTTAGTTATTTTAGTAAACCAAGTTTAACTAAATTGAGAATTGGATTTTATTTCAGTATTTTATTTTCATTTAACTGAAGTGAATTTAATCTCAGGTAAGACTTTTTCATTCTTTTTCAGACTTTTTATATTTGTTATTATAATTAAATTATATATTATATATAATACACACACACAAACTCATATATATATATATTATACTCACATGCAGACAGCATACATGACAATGAATACAAACATTATAGAAAAGTACACAAACATATATATTTACACACATATGTGTCGAAATGTTCCAATCAAAACAACACAAAGCGCTCAGAGCATCAGAATCTGCTGACGTTGTTAGCTGATTAGCTGATTAGCTCGCTTATCTAATGCACAAACAACGCAGCTATCCGTGAACTAATTACGCGATTATGTTTCTAATAATGTAGAATTAAAAACATTACCTGCTCCGTCTCATCAAAACGTCTGAGGAGAGAGAAATTAAAAAAGACGCCGCTTCTCTCATCAGCTTACAGCGGATTGCGTCAACGTTACTCCACCCGGAAGTTAAAGCCCAGTGACGTCATGCGCGTTAGACCTATCGAAATGAAGCGTCCGTTTCTGTGATTGATACACAAGGCATACTTAATTTTTATTTCTCTATTCTAAAAAATAATATAATTCAACAATCAGTTCAATGTTGAAATGTGATGTATTTAATTTCAGTTCTTGAGTCTGTTTTAATAGTGTCAATTAAATTTACTTTACAACTACTGTACATTTAGATTATCATTTCATTTGTAAGTCGCTTTGGATAAAAGCATCTGCTGAATGACTAAATGTAAATTTACAAAAGCACTATGCAAAGGATCTTGCAATACAAATCATACAATTCACCAATCAAGAATATATATAACCTAATACCAATATAAAGTAAATAACATAAAAAATAATAAATAACTGCAAAGATAATAAATTATAATTATAAAACTAAATTATACAGTCACATTAAAAACACACCCTGTGTCTCACCCGCAGTTCATCTGAGATCAGGATGAGTTTGTTTCTTCATCAGGTTTGTAGAAATGTAGCACTGCATCAGTGTCTCAGCAATGGATGCTCTGCAGTGAATGGGTGCCGTCAGAATGAGAGTCCAAACGAGCTGTTTAAACGCTGCTTGATCTGTGCAGATTTCTCTCCTGATTCAGACCAGAACACTTTTTCACTGGAGGAAGCGTTATTATGGATTATGGACTCTATGGTATTTTAGTTAAAAGCGTCTTAATGCTGGATTTGTTTCAGCTTTAGTCTTCTCCAGATGTTAACTTCAAGTCTTCATTATATATTTGCTGATGGCTGAAGCTCAGACATTCCTTTATCTCTCGTCATCACAAAACTATGTCACAAACATGGTTCTGCTGGGAAAGGATGTGATTCATTGCCCTTTTTGCGCTCTTAAAGGGTTAGTTCACCTTAACTCCGTCTGGATTCGTCTGAAAGAAGAAAGTCATATACACCTAGGATGCCTTGAGGGTAATTTATGGGCTAATTTCCATTTTTGGGTGAACTAACCCTTTAAAATAAAATTCTCAGAACTAACTTCCATCATTTTTGTCCTGTGTTGTCGCTGTTTTAGTGATTGTAGAGGATCTACAGCTTTTCTCAACCACGTTTCACACCAACAAAGTGCTGCAATAGTTTTTGGACTTCATTCTCAACACTAGATTGTATTGTTATCGTTTCAGACTGTACAAACTTTGATTAAAATGTGACCCTGGAGCACAAAAGCAGTCTCTCGCTGGGGTATATTTGTAGCAATAGCCAACAATACATTGTATGGGTCAGAATTATCAATTTCTCTTTTATGCCAAAAATCATTAGGATATTAAGTAAAGATCATGTTCCATGAAGATATTTTGTCAATTTCCTACCGTAAATATGTCAAAACTTAATTTTTGATTAGTAATATGCATTGCTAAGAACTTCATTTGAACAACTTTAAAGATGATTTTCTCAATATTTAGATTTTTTTGCACCCTCAGATTCCAGATTTTCAAATAGCTGTATCTCAGCCAAATATTGTCCAACACATCAATTGGAAAGCTTATATATTCAGCTTTCAGATGATGTATAAATCTCAGTTTCAAAAAACTGACCCTTATGACTGGTTTTGTGGGTCACAGATGTGTTTGTGTGTCTTGTTTTCACTGAATGACATTTTTAGTCCAGTGTGTGAGGAAAGAGCAGGAGTACAGTAGGGGCGGGGCCTGCGGCTGTCTGTCACGGGGGCGGGGCCTGCGGTTGCCAGGCGCTGGGTCACTTGTGTGGGAAGTGCTGAAATTTCAACGCGTCACAGCCGCGTTACGCACGGATCACACGCAGATTCTGATCGCCGACGAGCTCGAGGGAACGACGCGTTTAACGGCGGCACTTTAAGCCGAGAACTAGTCCTCTACTTGATAACTCAGCAGCTAACTAACTACTCCGGCAGTCCGTTAGCGAGCGTCACTCACACGTCCGCATCTCAGGGCTCGGATATTAACACTTCCGATCGAGCTGATCGATCAATCAATGATCATGGAGAGGAAGAAGACGGACTGTCCGGCGCTTCCACCCGGCTGGAAGAAGGAAGAAGTGATCCGGAAGTCCGGGCTGAGCGCTGGGAAGAGTGATGTGTATTATTACAGGTGAGTCTGGCTTTTTCTGGGTGTTATTGTGTTTGTTTGAAGTGTGCGCGCCGACGATGTGTTAAAGCGTTACATTGTATCCGGAAGAAGAGTTGAACTCGCTGGAGAGATACACTGTAACTCCTGCGCTGTGACGTCACTGCATTTGCGTGTGAGTGAGTGTGTGTGTGTGTGTGTGAGTGTGTGTGTGTGTGTGTGTGAGTGAGTGAGTGTGTGTGAGTGTGTGTGTGTGTGTGTTGTGGGTGTGTGTGTGTGTGTGTGTGTGTGTGAGTGTGAGTGTGTGTGTGTGAGTGTGTGTGTGTGTGTGTGAGATGAACTTGAGCGTTTCCTCTGAGCTTCACCTGTTCAGTCCTCAGCTTTAAATACTTTAAACAGTTACTGCTCATTATTTATGAATAAAGACACCCAGAATACACATATTTGGAGCAATTATTGTTAATAATTTATAAGTAAACAATCACTTACATAAATATGTTTCATTATTGGTATAAGTACAGTGATGCATGTGTGTTTTTGTGTAAGATGTGAGCATGGGGTGGCGTGGTTAAAATGCGTTTTGGAAACAAAACAACAAATTTAATGACAAAATGTATTTTTCAATGCGTTTCTTGCCATTTCGTTGTAATTATTTGTGAAATGTACTAACAATTCTGTGTGAATTTTTTTTTCAAAATAAATCATACCAGGGTTAGATTTAAACTAAAACCACAAAAATATTTCTGTTATTTAAAAAAAATTAAATGTTAACTAAAATAAAAAAATATATAATATATTTATATCAAAGCATATAAACATAATAAAAATAAACTATATAAAAACCAGGCAAAATTTCTCACTTCAACTTGATGTGCTAAAATTAAAATGAAAACTGACATAAAAGTAATAAAAGCTATATAGACATATTTAAAACAACAAAAACGTATGAAAATTGACCTGGTGTATTAAATGAGTGATTTTGAGCAAGAAGTATTCATTTTTTTCTTTCTTTCTTTTCTGTCTAAGCGGGCGGTTTGTAGCTAGTATTAGCTGACGCTATGCTGATAATCGAAAGACTGGCTGACGTTATTTTGGAGCCATACTGAACTTACTTCATATGAAAACTGAGTTTCACTTCCCGAAACCCTCAAGCGAATCGTCTTGTCTTTATTCAGATGGCTGGAGTGTGTTTGTATCTGATTAGTTTTATATATCTGACATGATAACTGGACACTCCTCACTGAAATAAACATAATGAGGTCATGTGACAATAGTAATATAGTAGTAATATATACTATACTTTTTTTTTTCCAGCTAAAAATTGCAACTGCATTTTATAATGCATGCAAAACTTGCATTATAAATTTTCTTTTGCAAAATGCATGCAAAAAAATTGCATTATAAATTTTCTTTTGCAAAATGCATGCAAAAAAATTGCATTATAAATTGCAGGTGCAGAAAAGACCCTGATTGTATGTAAAAAAAAAAAAAAAAAATTATAAAATTCTCTTACCCTGTATACAATATTGTAATATTAAAAATAATTATATTCAGTGTTTAGTTCATATTAAATGCAGAATTAATTTTGTTTACAGTCCTAATTAAATTGTATCCGCAGGATGACATATATGTCAGCGTTATATCAGTAGTTACAGGTATCAGCATTGGTTTTTGATGATCTACATTAGTCAGACACTAAATCAAGGGCAGTAAAGAGTATTGCTGTGCAGTGGTTGTGTGATGTGATTATTACTCAAACCTCATCACACACACGACGCCTGCGACTCGAGTCAAACCCTCTTCTTCAGTCCGTCTGCAGAGATTCATGTGTTTTCAGTGTTGCAGTGAGTCGAGCGCCATGAAGCCGCTGCGTTTGTTCACTTGCCATGGGGGAAGGGTGTGTGTGTGTGTGTGTGTGTGTGTGTGTGTATAAGGTGCCGTCATGGCAGCAGAAGGCCTGTAAACTGATCTGCCATCAGAATATATCTGCAGTCCTCAAGTGATGGACTCGGTCTGTAGCGTCTCAGGACATCTGAGTAACATCACTTCCGGTTACATTCCATTTAAGTGCATGTAGAACTCAATGGATGCTCTGCAGTGAATGGGTGCCGTCAGAATGAGAGTCCAAACAGCTGATAAAAACATCACAATAATCCACAAGTAATCCTCAGCACCCCAGTCCATCAGTTAACATCTGGAGAAGACAAAAGCTGAGACAAATCCAGCATTAAGACGTTTTTAACTAAAATACGAGTCTATAATCCATAATAATGCTTCCTCCAGTGAAAAAGTGCATCTCCTGGTGTCTCTCATATGTGTTTAGAGCTGTTTAAATGCTGCTTGATCTGTGCAGATTTCTCTCCTGATTCAGACCAGAACACTTTTTCACTGGAGGAAGCGTTATTATGGATTATGTAGATTAGATATGGTCCTGTTTCTCCGCTGACGTCTCTCTCGACGATGCTAATGGAGCTTCATTAGTTTCATTGTTTCTCACTCGAGCGCAAACAGGCAACAAGCCAACAGACGACTTCCTGTTAGTGCTGCGAACTGTGAACTGTTATTGAGTCATTCCCAATAAACTGTGGAGCAGCTGCATGCGTTCGAGAGCTTCATTCTTCTAGCGTGAAGCAGACCGGCGGCCGAAGCGCTTCAGTGTTTATGCGAATGGAAAACTGTAGTAAAATCCTCTGAGCATTTCCTCTTGAGAGGCTCAGTCTACTAAACAAATGATGTTAAATGTGAGTTTGCAGCGTGAAAGCGACGCTTAAATTCACCATCAAGCCTTTTCACAGGAGTGTACGAGTAAAGCAGAGCGTTTTAACAACACGGTGTCAGTACATTACAACTATAAGTAAAACGGTCATTTCCAACCCAGATATATATTTATATTTTATTTATGTTTACATTTCCTTACTACAGGTAAAAGGTCAATGTAGGTAATTAAAACCAATATATTTTTCTTAATACATTTTTAACACTATTTACTTAAGTAATAATCATTAACAATTTTTTACAGTTATTATTTCCATATATATATTAATTATGCCTATCATCTAAAAATTATATAGAAATTATAGAAATGTATAATTTATAAAATCTTTATATAATACTTTTTTATTGCAGGTAATTTTTTATTTACACACAGGTGTGTTAACACACTTTAAACTGGACACAAATAATTACTGTAAAAGATAAATAATTTTACAGTAATTATTTGTAGTAAAAATTATTATTACAAATAATTATGGCAAAATTTATATTTTTTATTGACAAATTATTTATTTATGATTACTGATGAAATAAATAGTAACTATTATCTTTTATATAAAACTTTTATTTGTGTATGTTTTAGTGTTAGATTATTATTGATCTTTGACCTCTTACCTTGTCAAAAACAAAGGTTTTGCACTGCAAATGGGTGTTTTAAGCTATACACAAAAATAACTATGAAATAATTTAATCTTTTGCCAGTTTTATTAATAAATTATTTAATAATGATTATTGATAAAATAAGCAGTGAATGATTATTGTTTAGTACCAAATATTTTTTTTGGATTATAGAATTGTTAAAGGAATAATTCACCCTAAAAAACAAACAAACAAAAAACAAGGTGTTCAGCAAAGTGGCAGTCTCAGCTATATTCACTCTTAATGCTTCATCTGTCTGTCTCTCTCTCTGTCTGTCTGTCTGTCTGTCTGTCCATCCGTCTGTCTGTCTGTCTGTCTGTCTGTCTGTCAGTCTGTCTGTCAGTCTCTCTATCCGTCCGTCTGTCTGTCAGTCTGTCTGTCTGTCTGTCTGTCAATCCGTCTTTCTGTCTTTCTGTCTGTCTGTCTGTCCGTCTGTCTGTCTGCATGTCTGTCTGTCTCTCTGTCTGTCTGTCTGTCAGTATGTCTGTCTGTCAGTCTCTCTATCCGTCCTTCTGTCTGTCTGCCTGTCTCTCTGTCTGTCAGTCTGTCTGTCAGTCCATCTTTCTGTCTGTCTGTCCGTCTGTCAGTCTGTCTGTCTGCCTGTCCATCC